TAAAAATCGGATCCTTCAACGAAGAAATGAACTTCTGCAAAAACAAACAAAACTTGTTTCCTTTGGGAACAGTCACAAACACATGTTTCTTCCTTCTCAACTGCCACTCAATCACATTACAACATAGCAACCAAATAGAAGCTCTGTTCTGTTTGGGAGAAGGGTTGTTGATCACTATACAGTGGGGCTGCAATCTCTCCAGTTGCTGCCAAATACCATCTTGACCCTTCATAGTGGAAAAGTTGTATCCTGCCTTGAAATCCATAGGAGATGCAACTTTAACACCATTCTTTGAAAGGAACCAAGATAATCCACTGTTTCCATGAAGTAACTCAACAACATCAGGATGATCATCATTACAGAAGAAAAAGGACTGTTCTCCGAATTCGGCATCAACATACAGTTCGTGATCTTCACGCAAGTTCTCCGGATTCTCATCGTCTAATGCCGGAATGGAAACATCATGCCACTCATCGTGATCGCGTCTAACCTTTGACTGATTCACACGTATCACTGCCTTACCAGTATTGGCTTGGACCATAGCTCCTTCTTGTCCAAGTACTGTGGCACGAACCCAACGTCCTTTATCCTTGAACTTTGATGAATCCTGAGTCCAAACAAAAACCTTCTCTCCTTGGAAATAAGGACCGTCACTTGGCATAGTCCTTCTTGCAAGATCTGCTCGAAGGTCCTGAGCTTGTCGTGCTTCTTGATGAGCTCTCAAAGCCACACGTTGTAGTTCCAAATTTGTACTATCTTGTGCGGCGGCATTAGCTGACAATTGCTCAGGGCTTGCGGTCTCAAGGTCAAAAAGATCTGGTGGACGTCTTCCAGTTGCTATCTCTATTGGTGAATATCCACTGATAGTCAACTGACAATTTCTTGCCCAAACTACCTTCTTGACCACTTCTCTGACCGTAACACCACGAAAACGTGGGTCATCCAGATCTACCTTCATAACATGCCACATACGTTTGAACAAACGTACAGCTGTCTCTGCTCGGTTCGGCCAAGGAGTTCTTGGCCCACAAGGACATTGTTGTATACCATGGAACCTGTAGTATTCAACAAAAGCATCGGTGAAAAAGGCTTCGTCTCCTACGATGGCCTTTGGAACACAGTTGTTCTCATCAGACCATTGCCTCAATGCTTGGATGGTGGTTTGATCTATGAGGTCTTTCTGTGCCGTAGCCCAGAGAAGATTTGTGGCACCATCAAGAACAAGTAGAATGATATACTTGTTCTTGTGAAGTTCAACCTCACAATGATCAGCAAAAACAACATCACCAAAACATGAAGCTCTAATACCGGAGACTCTGGCTCGTGGCGGAGGTGCCACTGAAGTGTTACAAACACGGCAGTTCCTGACAACTGATTCATACTTCTCTAAAACAGAGTCAGGAAGCTTCAACATAGAAACACGTCTACGAAACTGAGTAGGACTCATATGGTAGTGCTTCACATGAAGCTTATAAAGCTCTACCTTGTCCTCCAGTCTCTGTAACATCTTCCTATATGCCGGTGTCATTGCAACAACTTCACTACCAGGTAATGGGATTGAAATCCGCCTAGGCTCAAGAGCGCCATCACCTGGTTCAAGTGGTTCATGTTTATCACTTGATGGTCCTTTTGATGCTTTAGGAATTTCTACAAGTTCACCTTCTGGCCTCTCAGGTGGTTCTGAGGGAGCATACTCCTCAAGATCATCACCCTTTAAATCATTCTGAGGCTCAGATGGTTTCGACTTGTGTCCCTTCCAAAATGGATCAAAACCCTTGGAAGTATACCGAAACTTTGGCGGCACGGGCTTTTCCGCGGCACTGGCTGGTGCACCTTCCTTCTCTGATGAGAAGCCTGGTTCCCTGTCCTTTGCAATGGGAACCTTCTCTGAGGAGGAGCGCACCACTGCATCGGGATCACCAATGCCACGGTGCTCAATGCCAGCCTTCCTGATCTTTAGATCTGGAATTTTGGCATCTGGCTTGAACTTAAAAATTGTTCTACCACGCCATTCATAGCCAATTTGTAGGTCCTTCCATTTTGCCTTGCGCCAATCATCTTGCTTCTTGATCTCTTCTCCACCTTTCTTCTTCTTGATGATTGTCAGTCGCAAGTCTTCCAGTAAGTCAGTGTCTACAGGACAGGACTTAGTTGCTGGGAAAAGAATCTTTCTATAATCCTTGTGGTGACGTATCAGTTCTCTCTTGTGAACATCTACTTCCCAGTAGTCAACCACAGGATATGCATGTTCAGCTACAGCTTCATCACTATTGAGGTCAACAGAAATATGACCATATTCATAGTGAGTGAAGTGAGAGTAAAAACTCTTCTCGCGCCGAGTCTGCAAATTCACGTCAGACAGATACCATGCAATATCTTGGAAGTCCAAGACAAGATGAGTACTGGCTGCAACCTTCAACTCCAAATATTTGATACCAAGAGGCACCGATGTCAGATAAGCATGTTGAGGTGTCAGCCTGAGTTCAAAGCCTAAGTTCCTCATCTGTGGCAAGCTCATAAGCAAAGGGACTTCTCCTTCTTCCACTATGTCGAACTCTGTATGGTGGATCGTCCATGCGCGATCATACATGTAAATCACCAGTTTCTGAGAGCAAGTAGCCTTCTGGGAATTGGCAAAGTAAAACTTGCTCTTGGTAGCCTCAAATGAGTACCATAATCCACAATCTGGGTGATTGTCGACATAGTTGCAAAAATGGTCGACTGCTCGCCTTGATCCCATAGCTCTAGTGCATCCAATGTCCAGGATTGCAATAGTCGGCGGGAAGCGATTCTCAGTCAAAAATGAAATGGCCTGCATCTCCTTCACTTCTTCCTCAGCGCTCATAAGCGCAAAGCCATCAGGAGCCTTTGTGAGCATCTCCTTTGACAAAGAGTACCTCACAGGGGCACTCATGCCATTGAAGATCGTCTCACCATTGTTGACCGCACAGTCAGCTTCATCTTGACATGAGGTCATCATGCCTGACAGCAAGTCCACCTCACTGTCATGGACTTCAGCTGCTGCTGTCACACAATGTGCAAAGAAACCTTGTTGACCTCCTGATGCTTGTGAAGATCTTGAAGGTGCAGGTAAAGAACGTGGCTGTTGTGGATTTGCATAGTTTGCATCTTGTTTGCCATCTCCTTTATCTTTTCCTTTTCCTTTCTTGCCTTTTCTCTTGCCTTTTCCTTTTCCTTTGTGGGAAAACCATGCTTCTTCAAGCTGTTGCCAGAAGTCATTGGCATCATCATATTCTCCTTGAAGATAGTCATTCATATCCTCGGCAAGAATGGCATCATATGCTACTTGGTTTGACTCCCAAGTGTCCTCATAAGGATTCTCTTCAAAGTATTCATCTGGAAAAGTTGTCTGTTGCTCATCAGCAAAATGGCCTTTACCTCGTCTCTTTCCTTTTCCTTTTCCACGAGGTCTGAAAAATCTGCGGCCTGATCTTCCTTTACCTTTTCCTTTTCTTCTTCCTTTTCCTTTGCCTTTTCTGGCTCTTCTTCCTTGGAATCTCCTTTGGAACCACGAGAAGTTTTGATCATCATATACCCAAAAGACATCGTCCAGGGCATCTAGAAATCCTTCAGTTCCATCTTCTTCATCTTCGGCCCAATAGCCAAATGTAACATCGAGTTCTCCTTCTTCTAGTACGAAAAATGATCTTCTACCTCCAGCACCTGTCGGCTGCATCAAAGGATTGTCTACTGAAGTCTTTGTCGTGCAGAACATCTCGATGAACACTGTCCTCAACTCTGTTGTAGTATATTGCTGCAGGACCCTGCCACGATGAGTCATCAAAGAAGTCAAAGTGTTTCGCTGGTCCTGAGACAAATCTGCAAGTGACAGCATGAGTAAGGCAATCAGATTTTCTCCTAGAGGAAATTCGTTCTGATGAAAAGTCCTCATATTGCCATTGATGGTCTGCATGATTTCCTGAATCCTTTCTGCCGTTGGTGCTACTCCAGTCAACGCTGCATCTGCCTGCATCTGAGCTAGGACTTGTGGATGTGCTTGAGTGACTGGTTCTAGCATGTCCATCCAACTGCTCATAAGCCTTTGGAGTAAAATCTGGAATCTTGTCATCCATTTCATCATGTCAGCTGATCCTCGATTGAAGCGCACGAATTGCATGAACCTATACAGGAATACATTGGTTGATCCTTTCACGAAATATGGTCGTAGTACTCGTTTGAAATATTCTGCGCCGGCTCCTGGTGGATCATTTGCCTTCAATGCATCTCTGTCTAAAACACGCTTGTATACAGCTGCTTCTCCTTCTAGTCGGTTTCTCAATGCTGGTCCTCTCTTCTCATCCTCCAGCTCGGTGATATCACACCAATCGTCTATGGCATCCTCATAGGAAAACCATGAAGTCTTTCCATCATAAGATGGGGGCACCTTTGTAGTGACCTGTGTTGTCATAGCTATCGCTGCTGGTTCTCTTCTCACATGCCTATTCACATAGGCTGCTGGCTCATAAGCCACATCCGCATCAGGCTCTTCCCAGTCGTCAATCCAATCCATGGCCGTTTGCCCACAAGCAATTCTATGCCTAGGAAAGGAGCTCACCTGGGTCTTCCAGGATCACTGCTCCGCTACCACTGAAAGAGTGACTAGGGCGTACACGGTAGAGGTGCAGACCGCTAGTGTCTTTTATGCGCAGAGTCTTATCCTCTTGCTCTTTGAGCCTTGAAGCAGTCAAGTATGGACACACTATATCGGCTGTTGGAGTGGAACCCTGTACAGGTAGGCTCTACTTTTCAGAGGGGGGGGCCCGCCCCCTCGGCCCTTAAAAGTAAATGTTGGAGGCGATTTCTCAGTGAGATAGGTGTCTACTCTGGTTATAGGTGTCCACTCTAAAGCAAAAGGAAAACTCAGGTAGCGCAACCGCTTTCGTGAATAGACCAAAACTACTACCAAACCTATTGGTTGGCGGCCTCCCTATTAACATGCACACCCATGTTTCCACTGGTCTGAAGTTTGGACACGCGGCGTGCGGGACTTTAGGACCTTCTCAGTCACGTGGACGGTCTTTTGCGTGATCGGGTCCTCCAGTCAAGCCGGAGTTGCCGCAGAAGCACTTAGTTGCTGGCTTGGGGGTGAATCAGAAGTCCGCGTCTGTGGATTTAGAAATGGCAAACATGTAGTAAGTAAGCATCAAATAAGCACTACAGTATCCCAGTGGAAAAGCATCAAACTTTATCATCAAATCCACTGAGAGTAGGTACAAGAAACCCTTCGCCTGTCTCTTTGGGGGCCAAATGTGCTGGTTAGAAGGCTGCCACGAAAATATGATATATGTGCGGCTATCGGGAAAATCGCGCTAAACAAAACGAGGCTCTCTCTTAAACATCGACACTGGATGGATCTTTCGCTGTATGGAGCCTGCGGTGAGTTCCATCCAATGCATTTGCCGTTAGGCGAAAGCACGAGCCCTGAAAACACACAGTCGGCGTCCTGTTACTGTATTGTTCATGAACTATCATGAACTTCTCTGTGAGCTTTGAACACCAATTTCTCTCGTGGAGAGCACAACTTTCCATGGCACAAATGAGTTTTGGAACAACGTGAATCGCACTCCGGAGTTCTTGCCCCCCCCAACGCCCATGGAATCTGACTTGTTCGGCTCACTAAGACCGCTCTCCTTCCATCTGGGTCTGTTCCATTCCCTCCCACCATGCTGGTTCGTTCAAGTACCAGGCCTTCAGCAAGATCGGCTCCTGAGCTGAGAAGGATGGTTCAGCTGGACATCCCCGACCGTGAGAGATACTGGGACCAGGATGCCTCCAAAAAGTAAAAGCCCTTTCGGAGACTCACAAAAACGCACGAAAAAAGATCTGGAAGGTGAGGTGCATGATGTACATGGGTTCACCTGGGAAGTTTTGCAATGCTTTGCCCAGCACCATTGGTTTCTTGCAAAATCCCCTTATCAGCCTCTATCCAACAAATCAATCATCGTTTCATTGTGGCGATTGGTGGAAAAGCAAGCGGAGTGAACCGAACTCCAAAAAGCGGAACTCACTGGGGGATGAACTCCGCCGATAACAATTCTCAAAAACTCCGTGTATGGGTGCCCTTTGCTCCTAGTAGCGTCCTTGTTCCTAGTAGTAAGGCCACGAGCCCCGTTCGTAGCGTCCGATCGCTCCTACAATGGAATATGTACATACATTGGGATGGTTTCAAAGGTGAAGGTAAACATGCAAATGAAGCCATGCGCGCCCATGGCCCAGAGCGACGGGCACAACCAACGGGAATGGCCATGAGTTCACTGGCATCCGCCGGCATCGCTGCAACGGTAGAGCTACGTAGGTACAATGGCAAGATGGTACAACCGCACCAAAGGATTGCTAAAAAGAACATGATAGAACATGCATGTTATTGCACTCCCCCCGTCCAATGGCTCTTAAAGAATCGGACTCCGGGCTGCATCGACTGGGCCAAATTCAGATGGCTCAGCTGGATATTCAAATTTGGTCAGACTCATCGGGGCTGGACAAAAATGGCATAGAGTATTTCCAAACACGCGTGGTGCTCACCTTGGGATCCATGGTGTTCTGGCTGTCCGGACTTGGGGTACCCCAGTGCAAGCGCCTTGTTCCTCAGACCTTCCTTGTCTCAAGGAGAAAAACCTACTCGCCTCACTCGCTGTCCTCCGATTTACATCGGACCCTCATGAATGGAACCTCAAGGTCACCGTCAAATACTGAGGCTTGGCCTTGGTGTAGTGAAGGACCAACCCGTTGATGTGAAAATATGTGAAACCTGGCCCATCTCTGAAGAAAGGAGCCGCACACTCCAACAAATCAGTAGCCATAGACTTGCATTTAGGCAAGTATCTATTCAGAGTCAAATCTTAAATCTGGATGATCCATGATTGATTCTCAAGCAGTCTTGAATGTACATAACCCGCTATAACAAATATCTGTCTGAAGTGCAGGATTGCCCGCAAAGTCAGGTCAAAACCTGATTATCCCTCCATCGCCGTCCAATTCAGCATATTTCCCAAGGCAATCACCAAGCCAGGGGTCATGTGTATCCCATGCGGGGATCAGGCGTACTTTCAATCCGCCGCGTGGGATGATCCTGAGCAGTCGAAACGGCGATAGTATTCCGCGGGTGGTTGGTTCTTCAGTCGATTTCTATTTTACGTTTGCACGGCCGGTCGCGGCGACCCATGAAATGAAGAAATAGACCCACCAGTTGGTGCTGTGCTACCAACCAAGGAAAATCATAACAAACAAACTATGTTTGTTAAGGATTCTTTCCCACCCATCCCACCCCGCTTTAAGATGCTTTAAGTGCATCTGTCTGTTTGCTTTCTCATGCTTTTCTCTATTCATATGTCCTATATCTTCTCGTAGTAAGAGTTGTGGCAAACCACGCCAATATATTTGCACGTGGTGATCAATCGGTATCTGTATGTCATCTTGCGAAGGTTGACCAGAAAAAATATAGTTCAGCAAACGTCGCAAGACTTCCCTTTCCTTTCTGCAACGAGCCGCTCCGCCAGCTTGCCCTCCGCAAAGAGTCTGCTCCTGCAGGGAAGTCGCTGCCGACTCTTATCACTCTGAGTGCAGGACATGGGTCAAGCTGTGGGAAGTCCCAGACCTTCCCGGGTGGCTTAAAAGAAACATGGGTGGTACGGTGGTTCATCCAAGATCATCCAAGATCGTCCAAGCATGTTCTTTATGGGCCTCTCAGGAGTTGCAAATCATCAAATCCTGCACCCACTTGCTCGCCGTGTGCAGTAAATGACCAATTAATTTTGGAGGGTCAATGCACGCAATTCTTCCATACTAGGATGTGCTTGATGTCCGAACACGAAGCAAATCCAAAGTCGCCTTGGTCGAACTCGCCTTTCTGCCCCAAAGGTCCCAAGGGCTGCCACTTAAATGGGCCACATAGGAATACCCTTATAAGTGAGGTACATGAAACCTGGTGGCCTGCGTGAACGCCTGCTACAAGCGATTGACTACCTCATGGTCAGACCTGGAAACAACGTCTCAACAAACGTTGTAGAGACCCATGGGAGGCGGTCCCTGGGCCCAAATAAGCAAACACGAACGGAGGCGATTAGAAGTCGATCAATGGAAATCCGAACAAATCGTGGAGTCGATCCAAAAGAAGGACCAACACAAACACCCACTTGTATGGCACTCCCAATAACTCCTCCCAAGTATCCAAGTCGCACCCACGAAACCACAGGCTTCCAGACCATTCCGTGGGATCCGAGCGCTTCTTATGCCACGCCGTCAAGTCCATGGATGCGGGTGGCTCGAAGCCTTATGGAGTTGAGGTGGATTCGAAGCACCGTCACATCCGTTCGTTGGCTTTGGGCATGGAGTAATCAGAACATATCACAATAACTCGTTTTGCTGGATGGTCCCGGTCTCATGGTGACCACGTTGACTTTTGGAAGTTCCAAGCGGCACAGCCCCGCTGTTTAAATCAAATCCGTCGAACTTCCTCGAACTTTTCCACTGTCGATCGCCACAGCTGTTCGACGAAAAAACCGCTGTGAAAAATGCTCGGTGCCCCGGCCGTCGGGGATGCGATGCCAAACCCTGGCACCAAGGGAATCTTGGAAAACAACGCCATGCACCCGTTCCTGGTTCAATAGGAAATCCGCCCCGCTAAGCCCCCTCGTATCATAGGATGCCTAATCGTTCAATATCGTTCAATGAAAAACAATTCAGGGCAGCTATATATACGAAGAACAGGCTGCCAAACCCCGGTGCACATTGCTGAACTTGCTCCGTCAAAACTGCCGGAGAGGCGTCAAGAAGGGGTTGTAGTAGGCCTCAAAGCAGGGGCCAAGTGCTAGTCGTGCCAGTGAACTTATTAAGTAGGCTTGCGGGCACTCTGGGTGCCTGCTGACCAAAACAGCATATGCCACTTTCGTTAATATATATATATATATTTATTTTTTTTACACCTGTGTGTAGACGTGTACAGAACATTCTCCGCAAGGTATGCTGCAGAAAAGTCTGAAGTCAACCTGTGTGCCGCTAGCCAGAACAATGCCGTCTCCCAATTCTCAGCTCTCTGAGGCTGGCCGCTAAACCAAGTTTAGCGGTGCGCGTGCTTTCATGCGTTGTCTTTGCTTCATTGTGCCCGACTGTGCGACTGGCCCATACTTTCTTGTCGGTCTCATCCGCGATCGCCGCAGCTTTGTCATAGGCTGCTGCCCTGAGCCCGCTTGGAAACCCACCAGCTCGGAGCAGTCTTTGTCCATGGTCATACATCTTGAAACCCGGCCTGCTGGCCAAAACAAAATCCACCGACCGAAAGGCTGTCGGAGAGATTGGTCATAGAATCTCAAAGAGTCATCCTCCGGTGATCATCTGATCATCTGCGCCTCGACATCCCCAGCTCCAGTGACCTGGGCGTGGGCTGGTGTTCACGTTGTTGTCGCTGTTCAAGTGACCAGGCCCGTTGCCTTCAAGAAGCTGAGTTATTCGACTCATGGGGCAGTTACATACCATGAAACGTCACGGAGATACGGGTGTCATCGGTTTCTTCCGTCAGAGATGGCCAAAACCACTGATCCCAGCTTTGGTGGTTGAACATGCAAAAATGTAGCTTCTCTAGTTCTTGTATATGACCTCCCGGTCTCCCCCCTTTGAGGCTTGCGCTCCTCCATGGAGTGACCTTGGGCCTGCGACCGGATCAAATGCCGGATCAACGGCCATGCGTGCATCAATAGAAAAGAATGATTCCGAATGATGTACCAGGGGGGGTAGAGGAAGCTACTAGGAACAAAGGGCATCGCTACTAGGAGCAAGGACGCTACTAGGGGCTCCTGGCATCGCTCCCTCACTAAAACATGACGCTCCTTTGTAAAAGAACGCCCTTAATGTGATAGGAAGCGAACAGTTTTGCAACAGTTTGCAACCAAACCAGGAGAGTTACAGTAGTCTTCGTGTTTGAGGAAGGGGGTTCATATGATTTCAAATGATTTCAATCAACGTTAGATCAGGCCTCAGGCATTCTTCCCCCTGATGCCATCGAGTGCTTTGGGCCCCAAAGCCTTTTCGAGCTTTAAACAGGAACGATTCTTGCGACTAGCTACGGTGAGAACGAGCAGGAGGACGTGGTTGAATGCTACCTATATACACCCCACAATTTAGACAATTTATAATAGATATATTAATTAGTCATGAATACCCCTGAGCTGAAGGGACCCGCAATTGCATCCCAACTTGGGGGCGAGGGAACCCATGCCGGACCTACGCCCTGGCGACAGAATGTCCATCAAAGCAATCAAACTGATTGTTCAGTGAGATCCGTAGTGGACACGAGAAGCTGCATGGAGCAACCTTCCAGTAGGAACACATGCCTGGACTGATGACTGTGGGGAGAATGCCCCAGCGTCATTGCCAAATACATTTATTACAACAGGCACGCCAACCAAACTCGGATTGACACAACCAAAAGACTCCCAAGTGCTCCTCCAATGCAAATTGTTCAAAAGTACTAATTTTGCTTAAAGGGTTGAGCACATTTGAGCACTACTTTGACCTCTTGTTGTCTCGGCGATCTTCAACCTCCATACAAGCCCAACGGACAAAGACGGCAATCCCCTAACCTTTATATAACCTTTGAAACCGCCCCCAATTCTCATCTGGGGAACCCGGCCTTGGCGCGGCTTCGTTCCGCTTCCTTAGCCCTCTCTTTGGCCTCACGACTTTTTTGAGGTGCACACGTGTGATAGGCGTGCCATCTGCAAAGCACAGCTCCCTCCAACTGTCCAGTTATACTGTAATTAGTTTTAGGTTTATTTACTGTATACCGGTCCGGTGCTATGTTACTATGTACCAGTGACGCGCCCGAGCATCTCCGCCATGGGCTTTCTCGCTGCACTTCGGCAAGCTTGGCACAAAAACCCCGCCAGCCCACACACGTGACCATCATCCGGCAAAACATCTGGCTCCCTCTCAATTCATGGCTCCAGCTCTCTCAATTGCATTCCCGATCTTCCGATCAACAAAAACATCCGCACCGGCAGGCGAGAGGGATACGGATCCAAGTCCTTGAGCTTCGTGGGGTCCTGAGGGCGATGTCAACCACGATCACACACACATACATATATAATATATATATATTATACATCCATATACACAATATAAACAACATATGTTGTTGTCAGATTTTTGTTTACAAGAATGGGGTCCATATAAACCACTTTTTGGGGATTGTGCAATCTATTCTGAAGCCATCGTATTTATTTGTAGATTCTCCCAGTTTCTATGATGCAACAGCCGGCTTTGTGGCAACCGGCCCCAATCAAATGTTTTCAGCTGTGACACCTAGCTACCTTGCTTGTGCAGACTGATTGTGCTTCCATAGTTCACATCATGAGATGCACAACAAAAAGGGGCCCAAAGCCCCTTTCAACTCTTCTGATCAACGTTGGATGCAAACCCCACCGAAGTGATTCGAGTGTACATGACATCTCGAATACCTCTCACACCTTACACATCCCAATGCCCCGAGAGCAGTCATTGGCCATGTAGTGCTTGATGGCGTAGAATGTGCCTCAGATCTGTGGCTGTTGCCAACCAAGTTCTGCCCAACATGTAGGAATCGGATGGAATCTGTCTGCACATATAAGTAAATATATATATATATATATTACATAGAGAGAGAGAGCATTATATATATACCGCCGGAATGTAAGTTAGAATGACCGGCTGATATGTGTTTTTTTTGCACAGTTAGAACTCAGGTACGAAGCCCCAGAGATAGAATGATCGTCAAAACAGGCAGTTAGAATGAGTGAACAACACACTTAGAATGTGTGGCAAAATGATTGCAGATTTGCCCTGTTTTCACACGTTTTTTGCACTCTTCCGGATGCTCCATCGAAAGTTCCATTCCGAGTTCATCCGAATTCAGTATGCGGCCGTTCCAGCAAGCTTGCTGCTTCAGACCTCATCCAAACCCCGTTGGGCCCTGCCGTATACAGGAAAATTACCATGTTCAAAGAGTGTCAGGAAGACAGATTCTAACATATATATATAGTTTGTATATATATATAGTTTAATATGTATATATGCGCATGCAAATACATGTATATATGTATATAAAGTGGGTTGTTCAGAAACTGACTTGAATGAACAAAGGGCAGGGCCATCCCCACATATGATGCTCACATAGGCATAGACAGAGTATATACATGTTTGAATTCGAAGTTCCTTGCTCATCAACTCACACATTCTAACTGTGGGACCTTAGAATTACACAGGTTGCAAAAAACAACTCTGAGCAAGAAAACGGAAGTAAACCTAACCTCATAGATCTCCCTTTGTGGCCAGAACATTCAATACCTTCTCGTATTGAGCTTTCCACATGGGATCTCGCGGAAACCTATCCAAATGAACTTTCAAGAGGCCCCGGATCACTAGCAGCAGGCATTCGCCCTCCGTCCGCTTCAACTCGCCACCATGCGTGAAGCATAGGTTCTTAGAGCCCTGCGCTGGATGATATCCGGTCCACGTTCGCGTAGAGGTATGGTAGCTCAAATGCAAGCCGCCTGGAGGCAAGGCCACCAAACCAAGGGACTCCAGCTTCTGATAGGCTGCCCGGTGGGAGAAGCTCTTCACCCGCGTAGCCCCTGCAGGAACCATGGCCGGCAACTCTTCCTCGCTGCTGCTGAACCCTAGCACTTCTTCACGACCGCATTCCTCCATAGCTTCCAAAGCTGCCTCCTCTGCAAGGATGGCCTCATGTTCATCATCCACAGCTCCATCTGGTGGCTCACTGGGTTCATAGTCATCGGCATCCGGGTCCTGGAGAACAAAACCCTCAGCCAAACCATGATCCAAAGCTCCCGGGACGTTGGGCTCACTGTTTGAGGTGGCATCGCCCCGTAGTACAAGCAGTTGGAATGACTCTCCACTGCCGGCTCGAAGTCGGATCAGGTTTGGATCCGGAGACATTTCAATGTCCAAGCTGAAAAGCTCCTTCCGCAGTCTTCCCACATCAGCGTTTTTGCGAATGTGGATGATCTGGCACTGCTTCACCTTGTTGAACAAGAGGCGAATGGACTTCTTTTCCTGTTTCCAGGTGTCATACATGCTTTGCATTCTGGTCGTAAGCTCTTTGCCTTCAGAAGTTCTCTGTCTGATTTTCTGTTCTCAGCTTTTGTGCAATGCTTGGCGAGTTTGCTGATCTGACCCCTTCTGGATAGCCCAAATGATCTCCTTCTCATCTGCCAGCGGCTGATCCCGCTCCATGTCCATTTGCTTCTTTTCCTCTGGATCCACAGACAGGTCAGGCAGCTGATCCAAATGCAAAATCTCGTGCATAGAGTCCCGGTTTCTTCTGAGGCATTGCTTGACGTCTGCAAGAGACCCTACAGGGCTACGGTTTCATGCACATGCCCGTCCATGCCCCTCCATATATATATATATATATACTGTATATATATATATACTAGAAAAAATTACAGAGTATGCAAAGCAGTTAGAATGCGTCGCCTCCAAAGCGCCATTCTGCAACCTGTTCTTCCGTGATGAAGCCTCGAGATAGCCAGGCGTACCGTACCAACCGTCCGGACCTTGGATGCGCATGACTACATGACATCCCATTCCAACTTCCAAACAAAGCATTCTAACTTTGGCTGGTGACTTCCCCCAACTCAACCATTTTCCTAGAAGACCTTGAAAAAAGCAGCCAAAGAACTGGAAAGTATCCAAGGCTTTGAGTGCATAGGCGTCTGCCCTCAAAGACGTCAGAATACTAGTCTTGGTGATGGGAGTTGACTGGATGGAAAGAGAAAGCTCATCCAACTGGCGGCGCAACTCAAAGTTGGCAGACCATTGGGCGGTGCAAGCATTGTATGCGTATGTCAGCTGGTGCATGTGGTTGTGCCAGCCGTCGTTCGGGCCCCCCGTGGCCCCCCACCCGCCAGGTATCTGGCAATTGGGGCTGTCACCGCATATGATCTCCTAAGTGGAAAAGTTGTCAATTTCAGGCCAGGATGAAAGCACTTAGAATGCCCACCAAATTACACCACAACATATCACAATAAAACTAATTCTATCTTCCAGCCCGGTGGTATGGTATAGTATTGGTGCATGTCATCGAACGAACAAATAACACATAGAATGCCTGCCTATTGACACCAAGATTCAACACCGTGCTGATCACACCATGCACGTTTGAGATTGTCGAATTTTTTGCTGGAATGTTGAGTCGCTTGATCGCACAGCAAAATGCACCGGTCAGCCAACTTAAGGCCAAGCTTTTTGCGCCTTTGTCTCAACTCGCCAGCAAAGAAGTCCAAAAAATGAAGCATAGTATCTGCCGTCCATATGTGAGATTTGTTCTGCAGCGGAGCGATGTACAAGGCATGGGATAGTTCCTCTGGGAGAAACAAAAAATGGAAACCAAGATAGGAACAAACATATATATATAATCTGTATATTTATATATATATATATACAGTATATGAATTGTTTTCTAAATTACTCACCTGTCCTTTCCCTCTCCTCTCCTTTCCTTTCCTCTCCTGACTTAGAGATAGAATGCCTCCACCCCTCAACCCATTTTTTGGCACAAGGAGGCCTCGTTGGCCTTGGTTCTTTGAGATTCTGATAGGCAGTCGCCGCGAGCTGTTACAAAGCCTCTGGATACACAACCATCTGCCCACGAAACTGTGGTCAGTGTATGTGGAAGCCTGTAGCCTTCGATTGGAGCGGCACCAGCATGTTTGCCCTGGACACTTGGGGTGATTGCTTCCAGGTCCTCATCAGCCTTGGTCAAAGATTCGGTAAATGGCTTGCTGAGGCAGCGCTCGACACAATGTCTGATCTTCTCAGGCTGCGGGATTTTGCCAGCGGGTCTATTGGTGCATCACGTGGTTGCAAAGTTCTCTTCATTGGCCGATACATCAACGACCAAACCTGGTCGAAATTGGCCAGGAGCTGACCATGACAATGGCCTTCTCTTACCTGTCTGGCTACATAGCTCCTCACCCGCAACATGCTGGGGTGATCATACGGTAAATGTCGACCCGGCTTCGGGTTGCTGGTCGGCAGAAGCCCGGACTTTCGGCAGATCCTCTCAGCTGCCTTCCTTTCCACTGAAAAAATAAAAACAGCAAAATGCCACCAACAAAAAGTCTCCACTGTGGCAACATTTAAAAAGTTAGAATGGGCTGCCTTCCTTTCCGCTGCCAAAATCAAAACAGCAAAAACAAAATGCCACCAAATATATACCGCCTATATATATAGTCCCCCTGTGGCAAAATTAAAAGCAATAGAATGGTCCGCTGGATAACTTCCAAGGTTCCTGAAGTTTCCAGAAGTATCCAAAAGCGCAATTGGGCGCAAAGAGGCCAGCCTTTGGGTAAACTCCTCCAAATACCCGTCCTTCATCAAGTCCACACTTTTGAGGTATCTCTCAAGGACCGTAGAATATATGGGATGTGTTGGCGTGATGCATGGAGAAGCAAATGCTGAGCTGACCTCCCGGTCCCACGAACTGCTGCAGTCTATGTAGATGTTGTCACACCCTGCAAACTTTTCCCGAGCATGTGCCACCAAGCCTGCGTGTCTGCCTTCCTTGGGGTCCTCCTTCTCAAGGTTTGGGAAGAGCTGTTCCTTGGAAAAATTCCAATGAGAACTGGCTGCTTGAAGGAACCCACAAAAGCGGTCTGAGAAGTCGCTCTCGGCAGTGGCCCCAGTGTTGACGGCTGCGAGTCCCCACACACGCAGTCTTCGGTGGGGAAGGGTGTAGTTCCTGGTGTCCAAAATCCGCCATGCCTTGGATGCTCCGCTGATGTGTATATATATATATATTTTTATTTAATATACCAGCAAGAAAAACATAAACACACACTAAAGATATGTAATAAGATATTATATATATACATATTTATAATTGCGCATATACATGTATACAAGATACACACTATATACTGAAGAAATCACAAAAAGAAGCCATTCCACAACCCAGTGTCAAACTGATACCCCGCATCCTTCATGTCCTGCTTTACCACCTGGCCCAGCAATGCAAACACACTTATATATATATAGTTGGCATGGGTGTTTGGTGGCCGCGTGAACCTCCTGTGCCCCCTACCTCTCCCCACTTGACTGAAGCCCAACCTCGATAGGTGCTCCTCTCAACTGAGAGTCAGGATCTCTCGTTGAATCGCAAGCCGCTGCTACATTCTCATACACTGCCAGAGCGGGTGCCAGGAGTTTAACCACCTTGGTTGGGCAAACATGTACACGCATTAAGGGCCCTACAGGAAAAATCAACAAGATGAAAAGTCATTAGGAAAAGTTTGCAGGCATTCTATCTCTTTGGAAATGTTTATCTCTCAACCTGCCCCGCCACAGATTCAGGAGGAACACACACATCATATATATATATATATAATACACGCATCTCTTGGACACATTCCAACAAAGGAGACCGGTACCGTCGGGGGCCGAGCCGAGTGTGGTTTAAACTTGTTTAGCCAGGTTTGGCTCCAAGGCTATACGGCCATATACACTTAGAATGCCTACTAAGAACGCCTACAC